TTGTTGGATGACCCTGACTTCTTCATGTTTGGAAACTGCACCAGAAAAGCTGAGCTGCACTACCTTGAACTCCTGTACTTACACTACAATTAGTTTACCTAAATTATTTTATCCGAAGCGCAGCTGTTACCATCTACAATAACTCTTTTCCATCTCTCTTAATTAGTGCTCTGGTTATTTGGTTTGCTAAAGAACCATGTTTGTTATTCAGTAAGTGGTTTGCTTTCTCTAGCAATGCAACCTTGGCGCTTTATGCCGTGCCTGGTTCCACAGTTCGTTTGTGTACTAGAAATGGCACATAGCGGAAAATGATTCATATCACGGGATCCAATTACCACAATATAAGTCCATATTAGATTTGTTTATTCAGAATGCCACACAGTGATTTCATAAGGTCTCGAGCATAAATTTTTGCTCATAGTCATGTTATCAAAGTAACCACACTGCTTTCAACATCTGAGTTTTATTGTACAATCATCTTGCACCCTTTGTTTTCATTAGTGGTAAAATTATCCATATCTCTGGTTTAGGTGTTACGTCATTCCCATTATATGTGTTTAGTTTTGATTCGATGAACAAAGATTCAGCAACCAACCTCTCTTTCTGCCTAATTACATTGTACTATAGTACAGTAGTTTCACACTACCCTATTGTTTAGTTGTGGATACTAGACTAGTCAGTTCTTACGAGTTAAAAGTAAGACTTACTTATAGAAGTGAATGCAAACATATGTAGTTTCAATGTAACAAGCCTTTATACCGAAATTATGATCATTATGGCACTAATGACAGTTAAAAATCAACTAAATATTGACTCAGAACCTACCTGCTGAACTAAAATATCGGTTGATGAAATAATATAAGGCGTACAATTGTGCCTGACATCCAGTCTTCAAGCTTCAGGACGAAATATGTAGATAAACAGAAGGAGTAGCAGTGGGATCGCCAACATACCGAATCGTAAGAGATATGTTTATGAACAGTTGAGAAGATATTGTCTTGCAAACTTTTATTCCTGCACCTAAGATATGGTTGTGATATGTACATGATACATTTACCGTGTTGAAATCAAAACATACTGACAGTTTCTTGACACATAGAAACTCAGTAGTAGACGCAATCCAATTCAAGTAAAAGGTAGAAAATGAACAAGGAGAATTACCTATATTAGACTGCGGAGTAAAACGACGAATATAATTCTATCATCTACATGAAACCGACACATTCTAACAGGTACGTAGACTTCAGGCCATCTCATACAATGTCAGTTAGGGTGGCTCTAGCCACAAGTCTAAATAATAGAGCTACTTAATTCAGTAGTCAGTGCAAGGACTTAAACAAGAAATCAAAACACATAAGAGAAGCATCAATAGATGTTAAGTTCCCGCTACCGTTTATTAAGAAATTCTTGCGGACACATAAGAAACAAAATGATAACAATATTACGAATACTAATAATAACGACAGCACGAGTAGAAAGGAGTTCACAGCCTCCAATCTGTTACCCTATAAGGAAGGTACATCAGAAACTTTACGTAAGATCCTCAACAAGGCTGGAATTAGAGTGGGATTTAAACCCACAAACTCACTCAGAGATAAGCTTTGTCGGCTTAATGGTCCGACAGATCCAATTAAGCATAACGGCTGGACCTAACAAGTTGCATATAGTGACTGCGAGGCCAGTTACATAGGTCAAACTAGTCGACTGAAGTCAGTCAGATTATCGAAACGTATCACTCTAGCCGAATATAGATGGTAGTCCAACCACCTAATATGAATCTCTGAGTTCACTGATCACATTTCAAAATATTGATAGCATTCAGTCAACATTTTTACCGAAATAAAGCAATAAGTCAATTATGCTAATCATTTATTCTGAATTAGATAACACCTATGCCATTAGCTGAATGTGTATGCAAACTGAAATTGACCGTTAAGTAATATCATGTTTCAGGCCCTATAAACGCTGTATTCACAAGGTTAATTGTGGAATTTCACCACTGAAATAATTTTTTTATAAAATAATAAAATGGATAAGAAAATATTCTGAACGATAAGTAATATAATACTTTTGAATTTTTGACCTAAAATTATTCCACAAAATCCGTAATTGCAGCAAAATGTATAATACAGTTTTTTAGTCCTCATCAGTTATAAGCGAAAATGTTCTTAAGAATTTTACGGCTTATTAACTGACAAATAGTCGAATTTCTAAAACTTTATGTAACTGGAACTAAATGAACTCTGGTAGCGAAGAAATATTTGTTGATCTCTGCGCCCTGTGAGAAAGTGAAGTACTAAGAATACATAAAGGTTTAATAATCATGAGGAAAGAAATGAAGACAAGAACCAACATTCATGAAAGCTTTATTTTAGTAGTCTAATTTATAATCTTCACTCTCTTATAATTCTCATATAAGGGTTTGGTGATTTCGGTGAAAAAATCCCTTTTATACTCAATTTGGGCCTTATATATTTTTTCGATTGGCATAAACAGGGTGGATAAAAACTTGTTACATAACAGTCCATAATCGATTATCTAAACTAATTTGCCACAAGCTCACCAAACTATCTAACTAAAAGTGGCCATCGTGGCTTGATGACCAAGTAAAAAACGCTGTGGTGTTTGAAACGTTCTATCAGAGTCCTGGTAGGAACCACATCGCTGATTGGAAGGCATGTAAATCCAGCTGACAAATTCAAAATAGGACGAAACGTGCCTCCTGGATTACACTGTTAGCTATTGTTCACCATTAGAACCAAACTAGCTTTTGAAAATTGGCTTAATTCTACTGACATAAATGATAGGCAGTGTTCCTGACAAAAAAAAGCTAATTTATTCTGGGTAATTTTCGCCCTCAACTTAGCCAACCTGAATGTGTACTTCACAGTATCTTCGACTGGATATTTGTACCTCAGTCCTGCGGAAACCGCCATTGGTAATTACATCAACTACTCATTACGCTACAATAAATTTTCAGACAGTTTATTTGCAGAACTATTGATTTTAATTTTTTAGTGAATACTTTTCGAATTATGTCGCAGTCAGGAAACCTGATAAAGCAGACAGTTTAATGCGTATTTAGTTGCAATTAAAATAAGACCTGACTAGACATCGAAGTGGATGTTTTATTACATGTTTCTTCTATATTAGCTTGTTTGTCAGACATGCTTTATAACTAAACAGTATATTTTCATTAAAAGCGTTTTAAGCAAAACTTATCTTCTATATTCAGAGGTTTTCCTAGTTGGGAGCAGGATGAAACGGACACATTTTATTTCGATGGTATCTTGTCAATCACTTGTAACCTAAAATATCATAGTATATGGTCTTACCGAAAATGTAACCTGCCTAAATTCTCTGGAAGAAGGCTGAATATCGATTAGTGGATTAGAGAGGCAGAAAAAGTCATGTATTAAAGGTCAACCTTGACGGTAAATTCAAGAAAGGTTAGTAAACGGTAACAAGTTGTTATAATTATGCCAAAAATTCAACGGAATCTTCACGAAATAAAATAACGATGAGAGTAGCAGCCAAAATAGTGGGACTTAACATTACAATACTACGTGAGGAGGTTGTGAAATAATTAAGCACAACATTCAAAATATTGTGAGTCAAGATCAATTACTTGGAAGCATTCGATATTTAAGAAAGATGGTGCAACTAAATAGGAGTGAAGGAACAAACATCTAAAGTTAATAAGGGATAATGCAATCAAATAACAGTCAAGAAGGGTTACCATAGTAGTCAAAGATTGACTTTAACTTCCTTATAAACACGAGCCAAGCTTTTGGTGGATGCGGCTTTATCAAACTTCAGGAGAAATGAGCTTGTTTATTTGTCTATTATCTTGAAGAAACAGGAGACGTCTGCTTAATATTCCTTGTCAATTGGGTGTCAAGTTATTGTACTGTTTAAAGTGTTACTTCCTCTTAATCACAGGCTTTTTCGAATGTGTTCTGATTAGATGAGAGAAGCCCTTCTTTTTGTTCTTTCAATGTATCTGCTTTGTCAGCTACAGGTAAACTGATATACACACTTCAAGGCAACGTGAGAAGGGTACCTGTTAGGTTCTGACTAGATAAAATAGCATATTGTTCCTCACACAGAAGATAATCTGCGGTGTTTTCAATCATATGTTAATATGTCCTGCAAAATTATCACTTCTGAAATTGAGACAGATAAATACCGGCTTTTCGCCAAGTGTAATTTCTTTGTTGATTGTCTTCTACTTTTCCATATATGTTGATAAATATTCTTCCCCGTAAATAGGAAACGTTTTTCACCATCTCCCCACCAAATTTCATTCTAGCTAAAGGAGGAATTTTTCAACCTGGTTATTATCAGTTAGCCAAATGAACTTATAAATCATTGGGTATTTAACGGGGTGCATTGATATGTCGAGTAAACGAAGATGCACACAGGAACATTTCTCAGCCTGGAGCATCAACATTTTGAAAGATATTGCTAGTCGGTTGATAAGTTGTACGTAATTAATTAATACTAAGAATAAATCATTGTTTTAGATGGCTAGTCACTTATACTACTTATAACGGAATAATATACGAAATGGCAGAAATAGTAATAAGATGTACAAAACTACATTGTTTGGATGATGTCTCGAGCAGAATTTATTTCTCATTTTCATATCAAAGTAGTCATATGACTTTCAAAAGTTCCTTTGACATGAATATAAACCGTAAATCCCGCTGGAAACGTTATCCAGTAAATAATACTGCATCACTGAGTGCCATATCAAATAAAAGAAATAATATGAAATTAAATTGCTCAGCTTCTGGTATATTTGAAATAACCCACGTGGATGCTGAATAATTTTCCGAACAAATAGATTTCGGATGCTTGAATTAGTGTCAAAATGTCCAGAAATCTAACCTTTTCTCTGTTCCTCAATTTTTACCAAATGGAAGAGATTGTAAGCATAATCTTCCAACTTAATTAAAACTGTCCTTAATTCATTTTGCTAATATTTTCCATTTCAGATGCAAACTTTGTACTTGGCAATGCACAACGAAAGTATTACCCGATTGTTTATTGTTCAGATGGATTTCTACTGTTGACACACTATTCAAGATCTAATGTTATGTCAAGGAGTAGTGTATGTCAATTTCTATGGGGTCCAGAGACTACACCAACAGTTCGCATGGAAATTAATCAAGCCTTTCACAATCATTATGAATACAGAAATCGAATTGTATTTTACACGCGTATCGGTTAGTGATTTGATTACTGACATTACATAAAAATAATTGATATTTGGCTATAATTAAAGGCGATGTGAAACTTTAGACTCCACCTGGATTTATAACCAGTGACCATTGGTTTTCTCTATAGGTGATCTACCAGCTGAACTACGAAGTTCAACTTCTGACCAGATTTTTATTCCACTTTAATCACCAGGAGTTTTGCCCCATTACCATGTGAATTCGAGATGCGGTACTATCGTTGATTGTATTCATTCTGGCTGTTCAGTCAGGACTTCTCATCTCTGTCCCAGTCTAACTGAATTAGAAAAGAGGAGCATCATACTGATCATCATTCTGATTATTTGAAACAGTCGCTTTTTAGCGTTGACACTGAGTGATAGTAAAAGGATAAAAGAGTATCATCAATAATTTCAGAAGAAAATTTCAGCTAAGTACTCTAAATGCGTGATGTTGCATACAATGATGCAATAAATTGATGAGTGTATAGTTAAAATACTAAATGTTTCCTTCATGTGATAAACAAGTGTAAGGAAAGTAGACTGTATTGAATTTATTAGATCTGATACTTTATAGAAATGAATATTGATATGCAACCTAATGGTTGATATACAAACACCAAGAAGGTCACCACAAATAACCATCCAGTTACATAACTATTAAATAAAAAACTAAGATATTCAAGATATTAAGCGCCTGACTTAGTTCCACTGGGATCATAATGCACGTTGCTGTTTAGACAGCAAAACACGTCAGAGACAAATACCATGGTTTACCATCTCAATTAAAAATTTGGTTCGGGTATGTATATTAATGCATTCGAAAATTTGAAAATGTTTGAGAAAACTTTCGATACACTAAAGAGTACCCCGAATAATTATGTTTCTGTGAGCGATTAGTGATCGTGAGTGTTCCAGGCTTTTTAGGCCTTCGTAGCAATTGGTCAGAGGGAACATGTATTTACTAATCGTAGTTAACAGTGATGACTAAAAATTCTCAACATTCTTTGTGGATGGATGTTTGTGAAGTAGATTTCAGGGTTATGAATAAAAAACCAAAAAAGGCACACTATTAATATTAATTGTCGATACCTACGATTATACTGACTACTAAACTTAAAAAAACAAGTCCCACTACGATTTTGCTGTACACCACAGGCTGAGATTCTTGTCATGTTCAGAGATTTTACCCCTACTAGACGGTGACAGTGTGTCGATTGTCATTTAAGCACGAAAAGAACAGACAGTTTCTTCTACAAAATGCAGGACACATTTCACTAGATTAAGGTCTCGTGTTTGTGTGCATGACGGAGCGTCAAGTAATAATCCGAGTATGCAGTTAGTATCCAGGATATTAATATGATGATTTGTTCGCCTTCAACACATTGGCTAGGACAACTTAATTTTATCTGAGGAGTGACAGTTTGAAACTGTGCTCATTTTATCGATGTCTCAACAATCCAATGATGTTGTGATCCCTAACAATGCGAATGACTCACAGTCCAACTCAAAAGTACTCGTTTGGCTACTCAGTCACACTATTCTGTTTCTAATATTCATCTTACAGCAGTAGTCGATCATAATTCATGTCCTTGAAATTTCGGTTAAACATGATTTCACACAGTGATAATTCTTTTTATGATTGTCACTGCTCACAGTTTAGTTTCTTGGATTATTCTCGAAATGTGGATTTCATGATGTTTCCGCTCATTTAATGCCAAAACCTATGATCGAAATTTCCATCTTTTATCACCTGTAATATCTGTTATCACTAACCATTTTATTATATGTTTTGATGGATAAATAATTGTATGTCTGAATTCAGTGTCTCGTATTTCATCTTGATAGAATTTCTATGATTCAGACAGTTAGTATTAATTTAGTCCAAAAGCTTCTAAGTATGAGGTTTCCATGCTGTTCGGTAACATCACGCAATAAATTTGGTTTTAATTTAAGCAGTTTTAGGCTTCTAGTCCGTTGATCAAAATTGTAAGCAGACACTCGGTTGGCTAAAAGCATAGCAAGCAAAAGAACATTGAAAAAAGTGGTCAGTCACTTGTTAGTATCATGTTAACTAACATGCAACATAGAACATGTGTTTTGATTCAGGTTATGAGGAATGTATATGATGGGTAGTATTTATCAGAAGAGTCTAGTCGTATAAAGTGCTTTCTTCTTAATGCAAGCTTCTTTCAGTTTATTAACTGAAGATGGAATTAAGAACAAAATGAAGATGGAGTTTTTACGCTTAGGTGTGTGTGTTTGAACCCTCATTACAGATACTGAAAATAATGATTCCTGTATGCGAAATTATTTCTTTGACTTGATGATTTATTGTTAGAAGTTTAAAAAAATATTGAGCATTGAATCGATGGGAGTATAATTTTGTCAACTTATTTTCGGTTTAGGAAATGTAAATCAACTCAAACACCACAATTATTCTTAACTCTCTAAAACATTCCCGTGGTAACATACCTGTAAACAAAACCCTAGTTTCATGATCTAACGACTTACTGCAAGTGATGGTAGATTTGAGAGTTGATAAACATTTCAGAAAGATATCCTTAAATTCACTGAATGATGTGTCACAATCGAATGAATCCGTATAGAACTAGTCGTGGATTTCTATTTTTCTCTAAACAATCCATCTAACTGGTGTTCTTTCTCAATTTTATTTGCGTGAAAGTAAATAGTGACAGTTTGAAGTATATGTTTGCAAATATACAACAGTATTCGTCTTCCACCCGTATCAAAACCAGTCTCTTACATAGAAGTGAATCTTACCTTTCAATTTTTTATACCATCATGTTCATATAAACAAATAAGAATATCTGCCAACTGTGACAGATAAAATTTAGCAGCCGCTATAGAATGTTTACAATATCATACTTAATATGCGCATTCGGTATATACCATTCTATAGATAATTTATTTCGCATCTGATTTTCTTGACTCCTCTAATGACATGCAAACTGCAATTTAAATAAACCACCCTGTAGCTAAATTTTCAATAGTAGCTTTACGAAATATTAAATAAATGTCATATCGGTTAATCTCCTTTGACTTTATCAGGCATATTCTCATTGAAGAACCTAGGTGGTAAACGAAACACAATTTGCCAGTAGCTTCTAGCAAAAACTTACGAATACTTCATGGAACTGAGAGAATAGCCTAGTTTTTCCTGTGACAGAGGTCTGTGTAGCAATATGGATCATGGCCTCTTTTCTTCGTCATAAAACGTTCATAATATAAGACTATCAAAATTCATAGTCCGGTGTACAGCCTGCATAAAAATTAGTGTTTAGAGTAAAAGTATCAATAAATGACATCTGTAACATACATGCTATCGGCCTTTTTTATTTTTCTGATTCTCGTTTTTCAGTGCAATTAAATCATGAGAATTCCAATTGTCTACGGCGAATTTGTAGAAAAACGACAGTCAGTGGAATGTATATCAGTTAAAATAAGACCAGGTGTCCTAATTACAAGAGGTCTGTATCTATCTGTACAGGTGATTTTACTATAAGTAAACACGTAAACAACATTTTAGCTGGTGTGAAAAGGTGTTCAAGGCAGAAAATGTTAACTGACGATGATATCATTTTTCTTAGCATGATAATTCTTTCTACATCCATCACAAACACATAAGTTCTTTAGAAATGGTATTCATCAACCGGCTAGGGATCGATCCCTAGTCAGGATGAGGATTGTCTTAAGATGTGAATTAAAGTAGTTTAGTATTCTCTTGAACATATTTTGAAAAAAAGGACTAATCAGTAATCAACTTATAACCATTCGAACAACTGTAATAAAATGTCTCTGTAATCCTCAAAGCATATGATTTTTTAAAGGCCCAGGAAGATTATGAGAACCCTCTTTTAGCTTTACAGTTGAGCAACTCATCGTTTGCACAACCCCAAAGTGACTGTTCTATGTCCTTTAGCCAGTCAGGAAACTTTGGATTTCTTTGGTGTTGCTGACTGAATAAATCAGGTTACTGTACGTGGTAGGCAGCTGACTCTTCTATGTGTAGCCTTCATCTCGACTACTATTCCAGCAACCAAAGTGAACCGTTTCTTGTGTCAATTCACTGGATATAATAGTGATTGTGGTATACGATGGCATCTTTTGAAGGAACTGATCTTTAAGTGTGGGTCCAATTTTTATTCCAAATTCAATGAAAAATTTCGGGAAAACAGTCAAAGGCAAACTCTTGAAAAACTGTATTGAAAGAAACAACAAATGATCTCCAAATGTACAAATCCAGTACAAAGTTTTGAAATTACTACGCGTTTACATATTCCGTTGCTTCAGTTGAATTAGCGATATAGTCTACAGAAAGTAGACACTGTGTAAACGCACCTCACAGCATTATCCTGCACAGCTATACAGTGAGGATTGTAAATAAAAAGGCTGTGTGGTTCTGGAACGTTGAGTCATTTCTGATTATTTAGCTTCATTAGAATTCGCTTTGAAAATTATTCTCAGAATCAAAGCAAAACTTTCAAACGCAGCGTGATGTTACATGTTCTGCATAGTTAAGGCACTGGCACTTCAGTCATTTTTAACTTCATCTCTGTATGAAAAATAAGTATATTCGACTTTTCTAGATTGCATCAGTAGTGTTACGATCAATCCAAAGTGAGATAAAGCGATTCATTTAGGAATGATCAGTCAGTAACCAGATATCACTTAACTGATGCTTTTCGATGATTGTACTTCAGATTTTCGTATTAACTGACTTTAGGTCTAAACTTTCTTAATATATTTCTTTTGCAGGGTTATTCAACTAGTATTTTCTTAACAGGGTGCTGAAATAGGCGATATCTTGATCATGTAACATAAGTATCCTAGTGACTCCCAGATAGTCAAAACTCTGTAAACCACACCACATTCGGATGTGTTTGATAACTGATGTTTTCAGACTACCATATATCTGTCAATAAGAGTTCATTATCCACTTGAAGCGTTCATCAATTGAATTCTTGTAATTCAACACTGACTAGACTC